TCCAGGCACCCAGGCACCCAGGAGTCGCGCCCGTTGTGGCCCCATGTGCGTGCCGTTCGTGGCCCCGCTGTCGCCATTTGTGTCCCTCTCACTGTCCTACGTGGCCCAGTTGCTGCCCTCAGTGGCCCCATAGTTGCCTTCTGTGGCCCCACATTGTCTGCACTTCGTGGCCCCCGCTCGTTCGCGCTCTTCGTGGCCCCATACGCATTCCCTTCGTGTCCCCACTGTCGCCCTTCGTGGCCTACTTCGTGCCCTTCGTGGCCCCTGCTGTCGTTCTCTCTCGCTCTCGCTTTCGCTCGTCGTCGCCGTCGTCGTCGTCGTCGCCGTCGTCTTCGACGTCGTCGTCGTCGTCGTCGTGGTCGGTCCCCTGTCCGTCCCTCTTGGGGTCGGGTCGACGGTCCGCGGCCGCCCCGCCGATCAGCGCTGCCGCTGGCCAGGCCGACGGTCCGCGGCCGCCCCGCCGCTTGCCGGGGCCCGGCCTGCAGGGAAGAAAGGTATACCCCCCAAAAGGGATTCGATCGAAGACGAAGAGGGCGGGTATCGAGGGGTTGGTAAATACTCGTTCTTGGACACTCGAGCATATAAAGGCGAACGGTCTTAACATTATTGTTATTGTTGTTGTTGTTGTTGTAATTGTTGTTGTTGTTGTTGGTGGTGTTGTTGTTGTTGGTGTTGTTGGTGTTGTTGGTGTTGTTGTTGTTGTTGTGGAACATTATTACTTCTAAAGAATAATTATTGTTGGGGCCCCTGGTGCACGACCCCCCCGCCGCGCCTAGGCCGCAGCCTCATTTTCATCATTTTCGTGAGGAAGTCTCAGGCAAAACGAGGGAGTCCGGATCCGGTTGTGTTGTTACGATCGGGTTTCCCTTGCAAAAAATAAGCTAAAGTTGACATTTCTTGTTCAAACATAACCAAACTTCAAGAATCCCTTGCAAAAAACAAGGTAAAGTGGACATTCGCGCGCGCAAGACGAAATCCTTCCAAAACCTTAGTTTTTCGTAGCGATTTTAACATAAAAACATCAAAAAACCAATGGTTTTTCAAAAAAATGTCAAAATTTCATCCCGCGCGCTTTTGCGGATTTGTAGGAAACCCAACACTTTTTAAACATTTCTGTCAAACGGGCTTTTGCGAGCAACTTTTTCGAACTTCTGTAACAACGGTTGCGCACCTGCCAGGGCCATCATCCCTGTCAAATAGGAGGGGTCGGCTTGCGGGGGGGGTCGGGCGCGCGGGAGGCGGGCGGAGGCGTGGCCGGCGCCCAGCGCCCCCGGGGGGCTCCATGTTGGATTTCCCAGGCTGCGCCAAGCGCGCGCACGCGTTACTTGCCCGCGCGCTCACATTCGCGCAAGCGCATCCTAAGAAACTATGATTTGGATCGGAAGCGGGCGACAACGGGCATGGGGCGCCTGTCAAGGCTGCTTCTGGGAGCGATTGCTGCTGGCTCGGCACGCGCGATATGCATGTAACGACTTTTGGAAGACGGGCGCTGCGCCGCCCAATCCAACGCGGCAATGGCGCGGTCCGGGGCGCGCGGCCGTCGCGGCGCACGGCGGTCGACGTGGCCGCATGGGGCGCGCGATCGGCCGCGCGGCATTTGCGGGCCATTCGGCCGACGCTGCCGGGTCGCCCTCAAACAGCCCGCCAGGAATACGCAAATGCGCAATGCGCCAGCGCGCCGCCAGGATATCGCCCTGAAAACAACCTGTTCACTCTGAGCGCCGACTGCGCGCCTCGCTGAACCAGCGAAGTCGCGCGGCGCGCCCGCGCCGCGGACCCGCCGCAATGAACTCGCGGGAAAAAGGCCTCTCTCCATGGGTTCTGGCACCGATTCTGGCCTACTTCCCCGTTCTGGCCGATTCTGGTTTCATCGCCGATTCCTCCTTTGATTCCGTATTGATTCCGTACTGATTCTTTTGATTCCGCTCGAATCAGGGGTCGCAGTTGTGCCGATTCTGTTTTGATTCTGTACTGATTCCGTGCTGATTCCTTTGATTCCCCTGTGCCCCGGGGACCATCAGGCCGCGGCCCGAGCTCCCGCCTCGGCGGCATGGTTTTTCCACGAGCGCGGGGGAGTTTCGAGGGGGAGGGGGGCGGGGGGGAGGCGGAGCGATTTTTGGGGCGCATCGGGCGGCCGAGCCACAGATTTCTGGGCCCAGTGCGTACGCCCAACATGGCAGGCGCGGGAGCGCGCGCGAGTTCTCGACCGTCGGCGCATCTGTAAGTTCATAACCCGTCCCGCGCGCGGGAATGGAAACTTGCGTTGCGGCTTCCAATTGAACGCGCGGCCGTCGCAACTGCATCGCATTGCTCAGCGCGCAAAGCGCGCAGCATTTGGGGCTGTGCGTTCTCGCATGAGAAGTGCGCGGAACCGGGCCGAACGGTCGGCGGCGCCCGCTCCTGCGCCGCGCGCGAGGCCATCGCGTCAGCGCGGGAGGCTACAAGGGCCTGGGCCGTCGCCCTGGGGCGCGGGCACAGCGCGAAGCCCGCGCGGGTCTCTCGCGCCAAACATGCGCAACAAGGCCGGCCGCCCGCCGGCTGGCGCTCGCGGGCGACGCGACGCCGGCGCCGACTGCGAGGCCGACTGGGCCCAGAGGATTCCTGAGAGTCCCGGGAAGGGGCAGCGGGCCGCGATGGAATCGGCGCGGTCGTTGGCGCCCCCCCCGCGCCCGCCCCCCCCTGCAAGCCGACTCCTCCTACTGTCAAACAATGCCATGCGGGACGCATTCGTTTTTTCTTCGCGCGCGCACGCCGTCGTCGTCGGCCGCGGGGCCCTGAATAGTAGCCACGGTCGTCCGCATGCCACGAAGTGAAGTGTCCGAACGTCATAGGGCGGGAAGCTGGGTGTGGGTGGTGGCGAAGAGTCGTTTGGAAATTTGGTAGAGCTTGAACCGGCCCCCCCACAAAGTGGGGGCATTGCCCGCCTCCTATGAAAACCCTGGCACTGGTGAGAACGGAGTGTCCCCACGTGCTAGTAATTGTTGTTGTTGTTGTTGTTGTTGTTGTTGTTGTTGTTTGTTGTCGTCGTTCCCCCCCCCCCGCGGCCCACCCGCGACCCATCCCGCGACCCACTCCGCGACCCATCCCGCGACCCACCCCGCGACCCACCCGCGACCCACCACGCGACCCACCCGCGACCCACCCCGCGGCCCACCCGCGACCCACCCGCGACCCACCCGCGACCCGCCCGCGACCCACCCTTCGACCCACCCGCGACCACCCCGCGACCCATCCGCGACCCACCCGCGACCCATCCGCGACCCACCCCGCGACCCACCCGCGACCCACCCCGCGGCCCACCCGCGACCCACCCGCGACCGATCCACATTGGTTTGAGGAAAAAATCGGCGCCTGCGGCGGGCTCGCTGTATCATGTGTAAAACTTTGGCGCTTGCGGCGGGCTTCTCCAGTCTCGCAGACTGCCGACGTCCCCACCGCCGCCTCACTCTTATCCGCATCTGCGGGGTGCTACGCACGTTCTCGGGGTACTCGGCTTTGAAATCCTTGCGACACCTCAAGTCCCTGGAAGATCTCGGCATGCGCGCGCGACAACGCGCGCGTATGCACTTCATCTCAGCTTGCGCGAGTGATTCTTGGAACCTGGTGTTATGGCGCAGCCAGTGTGATCGCATAACAACGTTTGTCAAGGGTGGTAGGGGGATGTCACATCCGGATTGACTGGGATGATCTGCTTTCGTATGGAAAAATGAACGATGGGACAGGATCGCATGCAAACTGCGGGAAGGGGATAAGGCGGCAATTTCTATTTCCTGCTAAGAAGAAGAAGCCCACGCGGTGGAACACACGCGGCGCAATTCACCCCGCCGAACTTGAAAATGTCAATTGCTCGCGCACTCACCCCACCCGCCCACCCGCAACTGAGCTTGCGACGTCCACGCGCCGGCGATTGCAGTGACTGCTTGGCGGCGGCTGGGCCATCGCTGCGGCCGCGCTAGCGCGCGCAGGCTCGCGCGCAGAGCGTGAAGATAGCCTGTGACATCTGTGGCGACCAGCGCGTCCGCGATGGCGCTGACCGCTGGGAACTTCCAAGCGCGTTTTGCTGGCCGCGCTGACGCGCGGGCACCTCAGTGCGAATCGAGGATTCGGGCGGGCGCGGTATCAAGAAGACGCCGGCAACGGCAGACACAATGATAATAGTCACGGTGCTGGTGACGACGATGACGATGGCAAAGCCAATGACAGACCTGATGGTGACCATGCCTGCGATGATGGTGGCGCCCACGCATCGGCGATGGAGGTTCCCATGAGATTCCGACGCGCGCGCGTAGCCGACGGGCGCGAGTGGCCCGCATGGGGCTATTCACAAGGATCGCGCCCATCCCCAGCACGCGCGGGGGCGTTCGAATGATTTCGACATGCGCGTGCGAGCAGCCCGTTTGTGTGAACCCACCCGATTAGAATTTGATGAACAGTGTTGAAAACAAATGGTTTGTCTGCTTACGGGATGCTGCAAAATCGCATGTGCGCACATTTTTCGCACACAATCATGTTGCAACACCATGTGTTTTGCATCTGTGTTCGGGGCATTAGATTTCCAAACCTGAAAGAGCCCCCCTGAAGCTATTGAAAGATTCGGTTTGCGCGCAAGACGCCGGGCGCGCGCGCGCATCGCCGGGTTTTTTGCAAAGGATTCTTGGACACTCATGGTGATTGATGAACGGGGGCGTGCGCCCAATATTGTTTGACGGGGATCAGGAAGGGAGGGCCTCGATGCTAGTTTCGCTGGGATGGTGTGGATTAACATGTAGAATGACGGGGCACACTCATCACACCCCCCGGGGGGCGTCGGTCGGATGACCCCAGGGGAGGAAGGAGGGCAGATCCTGATTCCAGCGTAGGAAAGATCACCCACGTGGTTCAAACACCCTGCCCCGGCCTTGGGCAACGCAGGGCTGGGCAAGCTTGGCTGATGGAGCGGGGTCGGGAGAGACCGCGCGCGAACTCGCAGCACAACAGGGCTGCGCGAAGAGAGGGCACGCCGGCGCGGCCTCCGCCTGCGCGGGCGCGGCCGCCCTGCAACGATCGCCTTTGCATTCCTTTGCGTTGCGACGTGCCGGTCGCCCCTCCCCCGCGGGGGCTGGCGTTCCCGGGCTCGAAGCGGCACGTCCCCTTGTTGTGGCCGCGAACCTTTTTGGGGTTTTCTCTCCACTCCTCTCCCCAGAGAAGGGGCGCTCGCACAGTAGCGGCTCGCTGCTGGGAGTCCCCTGCCCCATCCTCGTCGGACTTACCCTGCCCAGCTTGCATTTCTCAACTCCACTGCTCGCGCAATCTTCCAATCCGCCCACCCGCAAAATTGTTTGCAAAACCCACGTGGCGGCGATTGCGATGACTGCTTGGAGCTAGCCGGGCCATCGCTGCGACCGCGCTAACACGCAGGCTCGCGCGCAAAAGGGCTGGCTAGTCTGGCGTGACCGACGCGGTCGCGATGGTGCTGACCGCCGAGGGTTCCCCAGCGCGTCTGGCAGGCCGCGATGAGGCGCGGGAACTTCAGTGCGAGCCTGTGACTCGGGCGGGCGCAGTATCATGGCGACGCCGACAACGGCAGACACGATGATGATAGTAGCGATGCTGCTGACGTCGATGACGACGATGACGACGGCAACGCCCATGACGGCGCCGATACTGATCACGCCGATGACGAAGATGGTGTCCACGCGCAGGTGATGGAGGTTTTGGAAAATGTTCAGAATGCGCGCGTAGCCGACGGGCGCGAAAGGCCCGCATGGTATTATTTGACAAGTCGCTAGCACCCCGCCGGCACGCGCGATCGAATGACTTCGGCATGCGAGCGTGAAAAGCCCGTCCGGTAGCATTTGTTGACCAAAAAGGTGGAATAATGATTGTTTCTTAAAGGGTTCGCAGGATCGCACGGCGCAACTGTTTGAACATGCGTGTCGCAAAGCCATGGCTGTGTTTCAATTTCAAATATTTTCGGGGCGCTGGATTTTCAAGTCCGCATGGAATGCATCAAATTTTGAAGGACTTCGGCATGCGCACGAGACGACGCACGCGTGAGCACTTCGTTGAATTTTCCGCCAGGGGTTCTCGCACATGTGTGATTTTTGATAAACAGGTGTGTGCGCATTGAACTGATTGACGTAGGCGACGGGGAAGGCTTTTGTAGAGGCCGAAGACGGCGAAGCAACAACTCAGTCTTGTGCTTGCTTCATGCTGGATATGTGGGCTCCGACCTGATGTCGATACAGCCCAGCCCGACCCGATTCGATGTTCGATACTCTGACGACCCGATGCGGCCCGATTCTTTGGCGAAACACAAATGAAAAAACTCCGCGGCCTCGCAGGCTGGGCCCCTTGGGCCGCGACCCGGCGGATACGGGGGGATTTTTCGCGGATGCCCCGCGCGGGGCGTTTCCACGCGACCGCGTCTCCGCGGGATCGCGCCCCAGAGTCCAGACCGCGAAAGCGTAGATATGGACACCATCGTCGCTCGTGAGGGACACCGCGCTCGGCCAAGGGAAAGCTCAAACCAAATCCGCTCACAGTCGGCCCCCGGGCCCCTCCTGGGGCCTACCTCGTGCAATCTTCTGGCCCGGACCCATGCTTGACGGCCCCACGGGGCCCGAGAACGGCCCCCCGAGGGCCGAAGGCGCCAAGACTCGTCGGCGAGCCCTGGGGGGAAGTGAGAAGGGGCGGGCCTTCTCAGAAGGAAGTTCCGGGGCTTTCTGAAAGGTGTTCTGAGCCTTCCCCGACGGCAACAACAACTCTCTCAAAAGGCCGGAGGGCCTCCGAGAAGTCCCGCCGCCTTCTGAGCAGGCCTTCTCCTCCTCACTTTAACCCCCTCGCCCGCCGCCGCAAGACGCCCTGGCAGCCAGAACCTCGAGCCTCTGACCCCCCCCGCAGTCCAGGCCGCGAGGGTGTACGGGTGCGGGGCACGCTCGCCGCCTTTTGGCCAAGGCTGCGAGGCGGCGGCGCCTCTCGGCGCGGCGCCGGCGCAGCGAGCTGCGGTTGGCAGCCCGAGCGGCCGCGCGGAGCACCTCGGCGACGTCGCGGTGGCCGCGGGCGGCGGCCACGTGAAGCGGCCGCGCGCCCTGCGGGCTGCGGGCCGCGTGGTCCGCGCCGCGCCGGAGCAGGAAGCGGGCCATGGGTGCACGCGGCGGGCAGGCGTGAGATCCCGACCCCGTGGCGCCGTGGAGACAGAAGGCAGGTCTCTGGGGGCCCTCGCGGGGCCACGTTCGGCCTCGGGGGGCCCTCGCCGGGCCCCAGGACCTTCAACAAAAAACGGCGCGGGAGGAGGAGCGGGTCCCGGGGAGTGGGTCGAGCTTCTGGGGACAGGCGTCGGAGGTCTGGGGGCCTGGATTCGGGGGACTCCCCTTTGGGTCGGGAGCACGACGAGACCAAGTCTGAGATTTGTCGTGAGCTCCCGCTGCAAAGAAGACTGGACCGCCAAAGCCCAGGAACTCGAGCCTCACGCTTCCCCGCAGAGGTAGAGCAAGAAAGCACACCCTGAGGTCGGGGCGCTGCAAGTCCTGCGGGCCCCGAAGCCGCCTGTGGTGACAGACCGCGCGGTGACCTCCGCGCCCCAAGATTTGGACGGCCGAAATGGGTACTTTAGTAGTGAACACAATTGGTTTTCAAAATGTTTGGTCTTTAGAAGCTCTGCGTGGCGACGCCCCCGTCGCCACGCGTGCCCTCTGCGTGCCTGCGGGGGCGCCGCCACGGAGAAGTACTGGAGACCGAGCATTTGGGGCGTCGCTACGCACGCCCTCTGCGTGGCTGCGACCATTTGTTAAAACCCTAAAACCAATTAAATTCACAAATAAAGTACGGACAGAGTGGGTACAATGCCCAACAAGAAATGTTGCCCCAAACCAGCAGCGGCCGCTGTTGGGCAGGCGGCCTCCTGTCTCGAATGGACACAGGCCGCGGCGGCGCGGACAGCCAGTCCTGCTCGAAATGAACAGAAACTGCTGTTGGGCATCGTGCAGTCAAAACGTATATTAAGGACGCGCGGTAAGGACGCAAGACCCTTGGAGGCTGAAATTGGGATTCTTTGGGCGGCGGCGGCCGATGAACACGGCAAAGGACGGGCCACAGAGGCAAGGACGCAAGGGCATCCTGGATGAAGGCGCGCGTCCTTACTAGGCGCGTTACTGTACCCACTCTTTCCGTGCCCATTTCGTTCGTGCCGAGCTCGGTGACAGACCGCGCGGTGACCTCCGCACCCCACCGAGGCCTCGCCGCACCGTGCGGCACCGCACGGAGGCCCCTGGTCGCTGGAGCCACACCCTGGAGAGGGGGGGAGGAGGAGGAGGAGGAGGAGGAGGAGGAGGAGGAGGAGGAGGAGGAGGAGGAGGAGGACGAAGAGGAGGACGAAAAGGAGGACGAAGAGGAGGACGAAGAGGAGGACGAGGAGGAGGACGAAGAGGAGGACGAAGAGGAGGACGAAGAGGAGGACGAAGAGGAGGAGGAGGAGGAGGAGGGGCACGGACGGGGCCCGCACGCCGCGCGGTGGCCGCGGGGCCCCCCACGGACTCGCCGCACGGTGTGGCCACCGCACCGCTGTGGAAACCTGGGCTGAAGTCGGGCCTGTCCCCCTAGAGAGGAGGAGGAGGGGAGGAGGAGGAGGAGGAGGAGGAGGAGGAGGAGGAGGAGGAGGAGGAGGAGGAGGAGGAGGAGAGGAGGAGGAGGAGGGAGAAGGAGGAGAAGGAGGAGGAGGAGGAGGAGGAGGAGGGGAAACCTGGGCTGAAGTCGGGCCTGTCCCCCTAGAGAGGGGGATTCTCGACGAAAAACCGAAAGTGCCCCAAACATGCCCCAAAGAGAACAGAGAGTACTCCAAACGTAGCCCCCGGACTGTGATTTTTGTGCTATTGTTGGACTACGTTTGGGGCATCTTTCTATGTTTCGTCGAACATCCACCTGTAGGGGGACAGGCCCGACTTAAACCTAGGCTTTCTTCCGCGCCCGGCGTGTTCGTCTTGGGCGCCCGAGTTATCCGGGGTAACTCGGGTCCGGGGTAAGTCGGGTTTGGATTCCCGAAAAAGGAACCCGAGTTATCCCTGACCCGAGTTACCCCTGATGATTCGGGGCTCTGATCGTCTGGCTTCGGGCGCTGGGACCACATCACGGACCGCTCCGGCTCGGAGCGTGCAGCGAAAAAGGCGGGGTCCCGGGCTGCGGTCGCGATTTCTCGTGATGCCGAATTCTTGTGTCCAGCGTCGGACCTCAGGGAGCGGCACAAGTGGAGTGCGGGATCGACTACAAACCGGATGCATCCCCAAAAATGATTCCCTCGTCGCATCTGCCAAACGATGCGCAGGATGCCCGTAGATCTACGACGGTTTTATACGCACTCCTCGCAGGTTCGACGGCCAAACCAATGCTGGGGTAAACAAGTTCTGTAGTCGGCTCCCTACCCGCACGCACAGACACTTTCGGAACTCCGCGCGGCCTTCTCGGATCGGCGCTCGGCCCCCCCCCCTCCCTCCCTGGCGTGCGGAGCGCGCCGGGGGGCGGCTCTGGGGAGCAGCGCCTGAGGCGCCGCAAGGGGACCTCGCGAGCGCCGACGCAGGAGCTCCGCGCGGAGGTCGGACAGTGTGCAAGGATCGACCTAAACCATGTGCTTCGTTTTCGGTTCTTTTCCCTTCCCCTCGTATTGTCTTCCATCCACCTCCGCTGCAGCACGGAATCGAAGCGAGAACGGTCCACGACATCGCCCAAGCACCGTCCAGGTCGCCCCCGTGGCAGTGTGCGTGCTCTTGTGCCGTGCTTTCTTCCTCCAGCATGGCCCTCTGACGCTGCCCAGTGCAGGGGCCTGCAGGAGCGGCCAGCACCGCATCGGGCCGTCGGGTCGAGCCGAAGCCTCCGTCGCACCAGGCCGAACCGGCACGGGGGCCCGCATCGCATCGGATCGGCTGCGCCAGGATGCACAGCAGCGCCCTGCAGGCATCGGGCCGCATCGCAGCGTCGGAGTGCCGGCCTCGAAGCGGATCGGGCCGGCCAACACCGACATCGACTCGGACCGAACTGGGGGAACCGAAAGGTACCGATACCGCTACTCCCCGGACCTCTCCCGGGGTGCTTTCTGACCAGGATTTCGACGCGAATCCAGCGGTGGCGACGAGGGCCGCCCAGGAGACCCCAAAAGGGGAAAACGAGGGAAGGGTATGGGCACCTTTCCTCCCCTGGGGATCGACATGGACGCTGGCCTGGCGCCGTTGTGGGCGGCGGCGTCCACCTCCGCGCGCAGCTCCAGCAGCGCCGCCGCCACCGCGCGCAGGCCGTTGCCGGCCGCCCAGTGCAGCGGCCGCGCCCCGTGGGCGTCCGCGGCGTGCAGGTCGGCGCGGAGGCGGTGAAGGCAGCGGACCTTCAGAGGAGGAAAAGGTATCCATACCTCCCTCGTCGTCACCGCTGGATTCGCCTCGAAATTCCCGTCAGAACGCACCCCGAGAGAGGTCCGGGGAGTAGCGGTACCGGTAGCTTTCGATCTCCCCAGACACAGCGGCACAAGCCCAAATCGGCGTCCACGAAGGAGGGGGGGTGCAGAGCATGGCCCGAGGCATGGGCTCGGACGAGGAAAAGGGACCAATGGGGACGCATCGGCACAAGAAGAGAGGGCCCTGACATCCAGGAAGGCCTCATGGCCCCCGCCGTGGTATCCCCCCCCCTCCTCCTCCTCCTCCTCCTCCTCCTCCTCCTCCTCCTCCTCCTCCTCCTCCTCCTCCTCCTCCTCCTCCTCCTCCTCCTCCCTCCTCCTCCTCCTCCTCCTCCTCCTCTCCTCCTCCTCTCTCCTCCTCCTCCTCCTCCTCCTCCTCCTCCTCCTCCTCCTCCTCCTCCTCCTCCCTCCTCCTCCTCCTCCTCCTCCTCCTCCTCCTCCTCCTCCTCCTCCTGGCACCCGCCTCTTGGCCGCCCCCCGGATCAACTTTCGGAGGTCCGCGCGGACTTCCCTGGATCGGCGCCCGCGGCCAGAGGCGGCGCCAGGGGAGCCCCGGGTGCCGATCCGATCCACCCGCACGGACCTCCGAAAAAGGTGGTCTGCTTCTGCCGCCGTTCCTCCCCCCGAGGACCAGCGCGGGCGAGCCCGCCGCAGCGGCCCAGTGAGCGACCTGAGGCGTGCCCAACGGGTGAGCCCCCCGCAGCGGCAATGGCCGAGCCCCGAGCTCCGGGTGCTGCCGTCCTCGCCTGCGCTGGGCGCCTGCGCTGGGCGTCGGGGCCCCAGAGGGCCCTCGCGGAGCGACCCAGGGGTCGCCGAGTGCGGCAGACGGGCGGAGCCTGTGTACAGGGCTCCAGTCGTGCGCTCGCGGTGCTGCAGCCTGCCGCGGCGGCGGACCTCGGGGCAGCGGGCGGAGCCCGCTGCAGCGGCCCAGGGCCCTCTCCCGCCTCGGAGCGCCCCGGGGCCAGGGGGCGGGCGGGGGAGCAGGGGGGAGGCGGAGCGCGCAGCGCCGCACGGCACGGCGAGGAGGCTGGAGGGAGATGGTGTGGGGCAAGATAGGGTGAGCGGCGCCAGGCCCCCTCGGCCAGCCCCAGTGGCCTCCCGACGACCTGCCTCGGGCCCCCGCCAGATCTACCTGCATGGCAGATCTGCTTGCATGGCCTTCCCCGCCCCACCCCCACTCCGCCGCGTTTGCAGGGAGAGGGAGGGGGGGGGGAAGAAGGCGTGGCGAGGCCCGAAAGAGAATCTGCGCTCCACGCAAGCCAGGACTCACTCGCACGCCTCTTCGGCCCAGCGCTGTCTGGAAACGCGGAGCAGGGGGGCATGGATGGGCACTGCCGCGAAGGTGAGCTTGCCGGGACGCCTGGTGCGGGGCTGCCCTGGGCCATCTTCTCGGGTCGGGCGAAAGGGGGGGATAGCAAAGGGGGTGTTTGAGAATCAGCTCACGCAGCTGATTTTCCCAGCGCCTCCCGGCGCCGGAGGCGGCTATGCATCGAGGAATGGGCCCCTCGGTGAGGCCGAAACCAGCTGTATGCAGCACATTTCGTAACCCCCCCTTTCCCACTCCCCCCCTTTCGCGCAGCTGATTTTCCCAGCGCCTCCCGGCGCCGGAGGCGGCTATGCATCGAGGAATGGGCCCCTCGGTGAGGCCGAAACCAGCTGTATGCAGCAACTTTCGTACCCCCCCCCTTTCCCAATCCCCCCCTTTCGCCCGGCCCGATCTTCGAGGCCACCTGAGCGACGACACAAACAGAGGTCGCACCGCAAGACGGCGCACGGCCGGACCTAGGGCATAGCGACATCCCTCACGGACACGAGACCCTCCGCCTGCCAACCTGAAGAACCGTCGAGGGCACCTCTCCCGGGATGCACAAGAATATCAAGCAAGCACGAAGAACATGAAGGTACCCTCCCAGGACCGACCTCGATCTTATAACTCGTTCCGACCTTAGCGACCTTACCGGGTGGCTTACGCAGGACGCCAGCGCAGCACGCCACACTGGAAACTAAGGCGCCCACGCTCGACCTTATTCGGGCAGCCTGCGAGCCAATACGTCCGTGAAGATGACCCCTTTTTGTTGCGCTGCGCATCTCTCAAGACGAAGCCAGGACGAGGACAAATTCGGATGAGGATACGGCGAGAATCTCTGAGATCCCGCGGCTCTGGAGGATGTATCAGGCGCCGCGGCCTTCTCAGAGCGTTCAGGAACGCACGCTCCGGAACAGACTTGTCCTCGTCCTATGGGGCCGTCCGATCACGACCGGAACCCTGCACCCTGCATTTCTGCGGCACGTTTCGAGCCGGATCGACCTGCGAGGACCCCTCGGGCCCGAAGCGGGACAGGACCGCGCGAAAAGCCCACAGCGCCAGGCTCTCGGGGTCTCCTCGCCCCTGAGGGCCCGAGCCCCCTCCTGGTCTGCGGCCGCCAGGCCCGCCCGGCCCGCGGCCCGCGGCCAGAGCGCTGGCGCTCTCTGGGGGGCTGTCTGGCGCTGCTGAGCGCTAAGGCGAGCGCTCTTCGCCGATGCACTCTCACTCGGCGGTGGACAAACCTCCCTTTAGTAGACCTCCCCTTAGTGAAAACGGCCTGGGACCGAAACCGACGGGCCTGGACCCGCAGAAATGACGGCCGCGACGCCCTCTCGCGAACCGAAAACGGCCAATTCCTTAATCGACGTGTCATGGTAGGAGGTCTGTCCACCCCCGAATCACATACGAAACCAGCGGGAGCTCCCATGACTGCCTGAACAGATGCCTCCCGCGCGGGCCCCGCTCGGCTCCACGCAGAAGTGGCCCTGGGTAAGAGCGACCTGTGGTGCGCGGCTTCTCGGGGGGCCACGGGGGGACCAAACCCAGGCGCGCAAGCCGCTGCTACTGCTTCGCGCTCCAGGCACTCTACGTGATCGTTTTCTTATTCATTGCTTTGCCGATCGGCGCGGGCCCTCGCACCCCCCCTCCCGCACCCCCATGGAGTAGATCTTGGCTGTTTTGTGGCGCCTGTTTTCAGCAGGTGGGGTCTCCCCCGTAGGACGCACTGTTGCAACCAGTGGCAGTAAGCAGAGGTCCGGAGCCAGACCCCCCCCTCCCCCTCCCCTCCGCCAAACGTCTAGTCGATCCACGACCTGAACACCTTCGTGGTCCGCGGCCGCCAGGTCCGCCCGGCCCGCAGCCAGCAGCTCGAGCATGGGCGCGTGGGCCGCGGCGCCGTGCACCGGCTGAGCGCCGCGGCCGCTCGCGGCCCCTGCGGCGGCCCCCCGCGCGAGCAGCAGGCCCGCGACCGCCGCGTGGCCACGCTCGCAGAGGGAGGAGAAGACGCCACAGACACGAACATTCGGACTCAGACGAAGCCGGGACGAGGCGCCCGAAACGAAGGCGCCCACGCGCGACCTTACTCAGGCAGCTGGCGCGCCGATGCGTCCGCGAAGACGACCCCGTTCTTTGCGCTGCGCATCTCTCACGACGAAGCCAGGACGAGGACACATCCGGATGAGGATGAATCGAGAATCCCCTAGATCCGGGCGCTCTGGAGGAGGTCTCGGGTGCTGCGGCCTTCTCAGAGCGTTCCAGAACGCTCTGAGAGCGTGCTGGAACGCCCTCGAAGGGACTTCTCCTCGTCCTGGCCCCGTCCGAACGCCACAGGCATGAATTTTCGGACCCCGAGATCTGGCCGTTGCTGGGCGACACTCGACCCGGTGCAGCTCACATAAAAACTTGCATCGGCCTCCTCCTGGCGCGCGGAGTGCGCCCGGGGGGGCGGCAGCGCCCCAGGCCACCCCCTGGGAGGGCCCCGCAGAGGCCCAGGACGTCCGCGCGCATCCTCCCTGGGCGGGCGGGTTGCGCAGGGGGCGGCGCCGCAGGCGCCGCTTGGGGGCCCCAGCGCGGACCCACGAAATCCGCGCGGACCCCCGAGAGAGTGCCCCCAAACATCCGACGTGCGCGTTTTCCCAGGACGTCGACCCCAAAGACCTTGAGCCGTTCGCCGGGACCGTTGCTCACTCCGGCCGACTTTTGGCCGCCCTGAGGCGTGGTGCCCCCGGGGGCCGAAAATAGAAAGAAAAAAAAAAGCCTTCCGCTCGGATTTGTTCATGACCTGAGGGTGTCTGCGTCTCTGTGCCCGCTTTTCTTCACATTATGGCACGTTTACTTGCATGGAGGGGGACGGGGGGGGGCGAAGCGACGCCGGAGAAGACATCTGCACTTCACGCAACTCGGGGCTCACTCGCCAACCTTGTCGGCCCAGCGCTGCTTGCCAACGTGGCGGGGGGAGGCTAAACGCCACCACCGCCTCCGCGCCTCCGCCGTGAGTGGAGCCGCGAGGCGTGGTGTGAAGGCCCTCCCCACCGCCCTCCCCGTCGTGGAGCGGGAGAATATACGCGGGGAGGGGGGTGAACGCCATGCAAATACATTCGCCAGCGCCTACACCAACTGCGCTCTTTGCGGAGACCAAAAGGCACCGATACCGCTACTCCTCGGACCTCTCCCGGGGTGCGTTCTGACCAGGATTTCGAGGCGAATCCGATGGTGGCGACGAGGGCATCCGAGGAGGCCCAAAAAGAGGGGAACGAGGAAAGGGTAGCGGTATACCCTCCTCGGACTCTTCGGTCTTCCCTCCGGCTCCGCCGCCAGGTGCAGCGGCCGCCGGCCCGCGCGGTCCGCCGCGTCCGCCGCGGCGCCCGCCGCCAGCAAGAGCTCCGCCACGGGCACACGGCCCACCGACCGTTCCCGGGGGGGGCGGGGCCATCCCACTCGCGGGCCCCGCCCCGCCGCAGCCCGCGCGCGCGGCGCCCCCCTCAGAGGTCCAGGCGTCGTACAGACAACCCGTATTAGAAGGATGCGCGGTGAGAACGCGAGGGCCTTGGAGGCCCATGCTAGCGTTTTTCGATCGAGGCTGGCCAGCGAGAGTCGCTCAGAATGGGCCGAAGGGGCAAGGATGCAGGGGTAGCCATGGAAACGATGCGGGTTGGCTGTATCTTGTTCACGCCAGGCGTGTTCGCCAGGATTCATTGGCGACGCGCAAGAGTTGCCCTATAGGCAAGAGGGGCATTCGGTGCGCGAATTTCGGGTGGCGTGGGGTGGCGAGGGGGCAAACCCAGGCCAGCAAGCCGCTGCCATCACATCGTGTTCGGCCATCTGGGAACCCAGTGGGCCTACACCAAAGGTCACTATGGTGGCGAAAGGTCACTCTCACGCGTTGCTGATGTCGGGGCCCAGGACCCTCACAGGTCGATCCGGCTGAAAAAAAGGACGCAGAAGATTAGATCTCAGGCTCCGGTGGTGACGTCGGAGCAGGGCCTCCCCTGAGGTCCGGGCGTTGCAGTTTCCGCAATCGCGTTGGGAACCAATCGTGGACAGGACCACAGGAGAGTCACACAAGGCGGACGGGGAGCCCGAAGACGCCCTGTCCAGCGACCGTGTCGCTTGAAACCCCCTCACAACTTACTCGGGCAACGTGCTCTCGCCGAAATGTCGGCTAACCTTTTGTCTGGGCGGCCACGATCTATTCTGTAATCTACACTATAGGTACACATGTCCGTGACTTGCTCCTATTGAATGCTCTGTTGGAAATTTTGTTCGCACCAATCGTTTTCAACCAGTTTCAGGCCCCAGGACCCTCACAGAACAGATCGATCCGGCTCAAAAAGTGCCGCAGACTAATGGGATCCACGGCACCGGTCGTGATCTTCTTACGCGATGCTGCGTTTCTGTTTGCCGCTCTGGATCTCATGGCCGTCCCTCCTCCCCGCCCCTCGCTCGGGCCCAACCTGGGGAGCGGAGCTGGGCCAGCAGCCAACGTCAGGTCCACCCTTCCCAAAGCAAGGTCTCGGGGAAACCAAAAACTACCGATACCGCTACTCCCCAGACCTCTCCCAGAGTGCGTTCTGACCAGAATTTCGAGGCGGATCCAGCGGTGCCGACGAGGGCCTCCCAGGAGGCCCAAAAAGGGGCAGACGGGCGACGGGTGGCGGCATGGGCACCTTTTCCGCATCCGAGGTCTGAGGGGGAGGCCGGGGGCATGGACCCCTTGAGCGATCGGTCCCTGGCCGCCGCTCGCGCACGCGTGCATTGGAGACCCGCTTCGGAGGGACTCGGCGCTCACGTCGGCCCGTGCGGCCACCAGTAGCTCCGCCACCTCCAGGTGGCCCAGGTCCGCCGCACGGTGCAGCGCCGCCTCGTCGCCCGCCGCCGAGGAGGGGCGGGCGCGCGCCCGCAGCAGCTCCCCGACGGCACTCGCGTGCCCCTCGTGCGCGGCCCGTACCAGGGGCGGCCAGGCGTCGATGCGGCCCTGGGCGCCGACGCCCACGACCAGCGGGTCCAGGTTGCAGGTCGCGTGCGCCGCGTGCTCCCCGACGATGATGGGCCGATTTTCCACCACCACTACCATAGGTAGGAGAGGGGGGAAGGAGGAGGAGGAGGAGGAGGAGGAGGAGGAGGAGGAGGAGGAGGACTCCCTTCTCCCCCGTCCAACCTATGGTAGCGGTCGTGGAAAACCGGCCCATCAGACGAAGACCACGTCCCCGGGGCGCTGCACGCAGAACAGCACGCGCGGCGGCGAGGGCGAGCCGAGGCGACCGCACGGCTGCTCCCAGCCCTCCAGCGACGCCATGCCCTCGGGGCTCGCCTCCGCGACCCACCAGGCCTTGCTGCCGCGGAGGGCGGCCAGCCACGCCTCGTCGTGGGAGTGCCTCCCCACGCTGGACCCCTGGGCACCCAGGGAGAAGATGTGCCGCACGGCGACGTCGCCGAAGAGCGGGCGCACGGCGTCGCGCACCTCCAGGAACGCCTCCCTGTGCAGGCACGGCGCGGGCCCGCTGCCACACCAGGGCGAGCTCACGGCAAAGATGTGCGACGCGGAGGCGTTGGCCTCCAGGTAGTCGCCCAAAGAGACCTCGGGAGCGGCGAAGAGGGGGGTGTCCAAGAGGGGGGGTGCAAATCATGACCGGCGGCATGTGCGCGGCCCAGCGGGGGGACCAGGGACGTAATGAAATAGGAAGAGGCGCCATGAAATCTGGGGAAGTATCATGGCCCCCACCATGATATCCACCACCCCTAGTCATCACCCCCCCTCTTTTCCGCCCCCGAAGACCACTCGCTGCATCCGGCCGGAGCCGAAGCGGCCGTTGTTGGCCGGGAAGACCTGCCCGCCGCGCTCCGCCGCCAGGCGCCCGCGGCTCCAGCGCTCGCTCCCCCGCCCGCCGCCCGCCAGCAGTCCACAGAGCACGAACGGCTGGCCGGCCGCCATCATCGCTTGCACCTCCCGCGGCTCGACCCGCGGCCATTCCTGGATGGCAAGAGGCCGAGGACCACGACCCAGACAGAACGCGGAAGCGCCGGTGTCGATCTCGGCAACGTGAGTCCATGGGAGCGTGATGGGGCCAAGAGCAATCCACGTCTCAGCGGCCCAAGATCGCATCTCTCGACATCACGCGACGCATATAGCAGGCAAGCAAGACTGAAACGCTGGCTTGAATATTTCGCCGGCGGTAGCGGTGTTCCCGCCCCTGAGAGAGGATAGGGGGGGAGGGGTCCTCCACGGCTCCTTCTGGGGCTAACACTAATCGCCCATCTCAATCATCGTCAATCCTGGGGAACATCTTCGCGAACCGGTGACGGCCGGATGACCAAGATCAGCGTCGACAAAACCCCGCGACATCTTGATCATGGTCACCGATACCGCTGCCCTGGACCTCTACCAGGGTGCAGCCCAACCAAGCTTTCGAAGCGAACCCAGCCATGGCGACGATCGCAAGGGGGGTCCGAAAAAGGCAACACCGAGGCCAAGGCAGCGGCACCGATTCGTACTTTCCCTCAGATCTGAAGGCGCGAAAAATGATCCTGCCGAAATGCCCAATCATATGAAATTGTGAATACGCGATTGTGCATATCGTGGTCGGTGGATCTCCTCGTGGAGCGACGAACCGTTTGAAAGGTGTGTCGACATGAGCGCAGAGAGATGCGAACGGTGCCACTGGGACCAACGTGTGAAGAGTGTGACGGTCTGCCGCACTGGGTGCGGGGGACGCATGTGAAAGACGTCAATCGGGCCCTGGGTGAAGCTCACTCAGGGGCCACGAACCGTGCGAGAGGTGAGCCGAAATGGGTGGCGAGAACATATGCGAACAGTGCCACTGGGACCTTTGTCGGAGCTCCTTACGGGGCCACGAAACGTGTGCGGGGTGTGCCGACA